AATCAAAAACATATCCGTTTTTTGTGTGTGACGATATTGATGTTCTAGTTTCATAAAACAGGATTTATGCAGATTTGATTGATCTGAATTGTGCTTATTCATATTAGTGACCATAAATATTCATTTATGATGAACCATTTGAAGTTGTGTCACTCCAATGTTGGAATGTACAGTGAATGAATAAATATCTAATAATCTCTGTGCGTTGATATGGAGATGAGAACATAACCGTTGTGTTGTATACTCCCTAAGGAGCTGAGAATGTCAACTGAGGCTTGTTTATTTAACACCGTGATACACTCGGCAACATTCCACCAACTGAGAGGGCGGTGGGGTAGCCTAATGGTTAAAGCGTTGACTCGTCACGCCGAAGACCCGGGTTCGATTCCCCAGAGAGGTACAATGTGTGAAGCCCATGTCTGGTGTCCCCCGCCGTGATATTGCTGGAATGTTGCTAAAAGCGGTGTAAAACCAAACTCACTCACTCATACACTCCACCAACTGAATGAAACCTGAGGTGTGTTAGCCAGAGCAACCTTCTGAGGCCTTTCCTTTTCTGTATGATGAAATATTTTAGCTGATTGTTAAGTGAGAGTTGTTTTCAGGACACTTTGAAATGAAAGTTGATCTACTGACTTGACAGACTCAGTTAGGACAGTGGGGTAGCCTTCTGGTGTTTGCTTGTCATGATGAATGCCTGGGTTTGACTCTCCACATGGGTACAACATGTGGAACCCATTCCTGGTGTCTCCAGCCATGATATTGGTGGAATATAAATCAATGTAAAACCATATTTATTTATTTAGTCACTTACCCACCCACCCCCACCCACCCACCCACTCACTCACTCACTCACTCACTCACTCACTCACTCACTCACTCACTCACTCATGTTTCCTATTAACATATTGATTCCCTTGTAATCTCTGAATAACCTTCATAACTGTAAATCAAATATTAAAAAATAATTTTAAAAATTCATATCGAATATCGGATTGTAGCTTAAGTTCTGTTAATTTTTTCAGGTAAAAAATCTAGGTTTTTTTACATTCACATAATTCTCAAATCCCTGCCACCTGACCCAAGTGGGTTGTTTTTCAATATGACTGACTAGGTTTCACACACTCCTGTGATCGTCACAACAAGAAAGGAGTGTGGAAAATTGATTATTTTTTGGCTGTTAATTAGATCTGACTTTTTTAAGGACAGATGGACATCTGAAGAAATGGTAGCCATTGACAGCCGTATCACCTTGTAATTCCTTTCCTTTTACTTGTGCTTTCAAATCTATAATTATCAGTTTCAAACTTCATCAGCTCTTCAGATGAAAAAAAGTACTCTCTCAAATTAAATATCTTCCTTTTCTTCATCGGGTCCATTGTGAGTAATTAACCTCGTTTAAAGAAGGTGGGGCAGCTTTTTGTCGTGGTTATTTTGTCCAATAACGAACTCGTCCAGGGTTCCGTCCAGGAATTTTCCCCATGAGTATTTAGTCACTGTTATCATTGACACTGGGGATTTATCGTTTCTTGTGGACATTCAATATATTTTTACTCCATTGGGTCTAGTCTTTTGGCTTTTTTCCACCTGTGACTGGACATTTTTCCAAAATGATTCTGATTCAAATTCTGTTTCAGTGACTTGTAATATATATCTGCTGTACTGAGTGCACATGGGTACAATGTGTGAAGCCCATTTCTGGTGTTCCCCGCCGTGATATTGTTGGAATATTGCTAAAAGCGCAGTAAAATATCACTCACTCACTCACTCACTCACTCACTCACTCACTCACTCACTCACTCACTCACTCACTCACATTCATCTGATGCAGTTAAGGATGTCAACACAACAAGATCAGTTGATGGTGACAAATAAATAAATAATAAATAAAATAGTTCCGGTTTTACATTTGAAATCTGATTTTTCCTTCCTTGCTTGTAGGATTAGGGTTCTATAAAGTATTGAAATGCTGTAGTCTACTGTTGTGTCAGATAATTACTTGAATGAATCAGTGGTCATGAGGTCATGTCTGATGAGTGAAATGATGGACACAGATAACTACTCTTGATACACAGGTACGCTTTCGGTATTTGTGCATCTGTTCAGACGGTGTATTTGGGGTTTCGGTGTCCTTTCTCACCATTTATGCGTACTGGATCAACATTTGTACATTTGTTAAGGATACGTGTTGCATATAGTTTTCCGGTATTATATTAAAAACATGTTTCGTAAATATTTGTGTAATTCATATTGAACTCTTCACGGAAATGTCGACACAAATGATGTTTCCCTTGGGAATTAATGTCCGAAATGCGGATTTGATTTTTCTCATGACTTGGACATCATGACATTTGCTTGAGTCTTAGAAAACTGAATCAATAGCATAGTGGGTGTCAATCACTGCTAAACATTTTTGCTGCCGATATATCGAAATACTTGTATCTCAATATTTTGCAATGCAATTTTGAGCCCATACACAGCCATAATACCATTTTTGTTTGTTCTATAGCCAGCCTTCATCATTTTCCTCTTGCGATTGTTTGAACTAAAATACTATTCAAAGACGCGGTAAAGCTGAACACTGTTGTCAAAGACAAAGGCTCTAAAGACCAGTGGCATTGACCTTTAAATAGCTGTAATGTCATTATTGGTACCAACAAGTGGCTCTTGCCCTTCAGGAAAGAGCTTTGTCTTCAATGACAGACAGTTCTTGAGATCAAGTTTGCTATTTGCATAATGACTGATAAGTTGTCATGGTGACGTCCCTGTAAACATTCCCACAATGCTTCAGTGAATTATTTTCAGGACCATAAAAAAATCAAACGGTATATTTTTCGTGACCATAGAGAATTTTTCTGGGTTACATCTTCTTTTTATTCTCGAGTACAGAATAAAAAGAAGATGTAACCCAGAAAAAATCTCTATGTTCATCAAATATCATCTTCTAAAATGCCAATCAAGCATCGTATATTTTTCCTTCTCGTGACAGTAATTGTTATCTTTTTATAACATATTTTTTTAAGATATCGAGCAAAAGATATCTTCCTACCGGTACCCTGAAGCAAAATTAATTTTTTCAAACACCATACCATCCTCATTTTGAGACTCTTAAGTTCCAAACTGACCCCTCAATTAGTGGTAGCACTTTCAAGGAAGTTAATATAATGGCTCTTGGTCATTTTATACCATACAGGATGTAGTGACCGGCGGCCATTGTTGATCAGCTGGCTATTGATTGGTCAGTGTTTGTTTAGGGCGCGGCTCATTTCGATCATATCGGCTTCTGTGTGCAACAGCTGTGGGTGCCCCAGACTGTGCTGCCTTGTACACTTAAACCGGGACTCACACACGCTGTCTCGAGACTCGTAAACGCTAGGCTGGGTCCTCGTGGGACAAAAACAGCCGGTGTTGCACTATGAATATTTTACTCCAGACTGCGATGTGATTAAACATTCTCAACAATTAGGTGCTGCTCAGATAACCAACCATTCCTTGTTAATCACTGGGAGTGTGTAGCTGTGTAACAAATAGATAGGGCTAGATATAGGTAGATCCCCCTGGCCTCCAAAAGGGGGATTCTTTTGCTGTCATGACATGCAGATTAGCACTAACACTTTTGTCAAGAGTGAGTCATTTTCTGTATTTTTTTTCCACATTTGTATTTTGCTATCTCTCCACGAACAGATTTTGGTAGTCTGTCGTACAGACCCTGAAGCAAATATATCCAAGAAAGCCTACGCAAGTCTAGAAAATGTGGCAAGTCTAGATTTCCACATCTGAAAATGAAAGTCCCTGGGCTCCTTTTTATTGTATTTACAATATTAATTTAAAAACTTTTATTTTCTGTAAAATATGTTCATTTCAGAGACTAGCTGTTAGTCTAAGATTTTGGTTTCTTCGGATAGAAATTTTATTTCATATCTGTTTGATGGATAGGGGAATGCTTGTAAGATTCAACTAAGGAGCTGGTGGTCAGGCTAGCTGGGGTGCGGTGGGGTAGCCTGATTGTTAAAGCATTGGCTCGTCATGCCGATGATCCGGGTTCGATTCCCCACATGGGTACAATATGTGAAGCCCATTTCTGGTGTCACCCGCCGTAATATTGCTGGAATATTGCTAAAAGCGGCGTAAACCATACTCACTCACCTCAACCAATGTCTGGAGTCTGACCTTGACCTTTCATGGGTTGACTACAAACATTGTATCAGTCTAAGTAAAACAAACTATTGGTACATTGTACAAAATTGCGTGCTGACATTTTCTATATAAGTGTATAATTCAGCAAAATAGCTCAAAATGTTATTGCATGAATGCAGCATGTTGTTTTTTTCACTACAGTCAAACTTCTTAATAGCATACATCAACAATTAATTGACAAGAGAAAAATATAACTGGTGTATAATACCCTTGGTAGATTGAGCCAAGAACAGTTAGTTTTGTCCGTCACTATTTACGATATGACAGACACTGTAGATGACGCAGATTGGCTTTGGCATATATATATATGATGATATTCCATCAACATTTTAACATACATCATGTATAAGTGATTGTCGACAGTTTGCGAAATCGATACGTTAAAGCAGACCCAGTGTTAGAGACTAGTCTCAGTGAAGCCGGCAAAATCAATAGGTTTGATTAGCCTTGTATATTCATCCCAGGTAAGCAAGTTTTCTCGAGACACGCTCCCTGTTGCCAGGTGTTGGACCGGCATTATTTCTACCTGTGTACATGTCTAAATTCACGTGAAAGCTACCATTGTCAAATGCAGCGACAATTGAGCAAGAGTTCACAGACAGTTATTAATCAATAGAGCTCGCCGCCTCACCACGCATGGCTGGCTTCGAGGTTTCTGAGGACAGGCCGGAAAGAGACATCGGGTGTGTGCGTTCTGATTGGCTGACTGCATCAGCCGACCTAGTTTTGAGTTTGCGGATATAGGTGTACTGCTCGGGAGTTAGTGAGGGGAATGAGGCAATTATATATAGAGCTGGCTGAGCACTGTCTGAAGGACACCTACTGTCTGGCTCGCTGGCTCTTTGATGTCACTTGGATTAGTAACCACAGGTAAGAGGGACATACAGGTAGGGTGCAAAGTTGTCCTTACTTAGTGCTGTGGGAGGAACCTGGGGGGTGTATTGTATGTATTGCGAAAGGGTACAGGTGTAACTTGTGAGCGTCATTGTTGGTGCACCTGTAACGAGGAATTTTGTCTGGCAGGTGTGTAGCTAGTCTTGTCGTCCATTTCAGATCGGATTTTGTTTCATTAGTAATTATGATAATGTCTGGTATTTAATTACGGGGAAATTGACAATTTCCTTTTCGTATGTTGTTTAAGTTAAGTTAATAATGTTTATGATATTGTTGAAATTCAAATTAATGTACTCCAACAGGCATGGGAATGTCATTTTCTTTGAGAGTGTGTATGAAAATTTGACATGCCTTGTGATTTGTTTTACGTTGAATTAAATAAAACGATAAATTTTGGTAGGATAAAATTTGAATTTGATGTGGTTCAATATGGCGCCCAGTGACAAAACAAAATCTGTCTTCTGGGATGAGCACATATAATATTCACAAAGCTCGTTAAGTTTGTACGGTGTATTATTTGTATGATACTGGTTGAGATTTGAAGTATGTCAGTCTGTCTCGGTGACTGTGTACAGCGTGACAACGCCTACAGACTAGAGAACAGGATTTGAATGAATTACGTCATAAATATGGCAGTTGGTTGAGTTTACTCAAGCTAGGTCAAACATCGTACTGTCTGAGGGCAAGATTTGGTTGGGAGGAGTATTTTCCTCAATTTTGGGCCCTGTGGAAAGTTGGGCATGTTTGATAATCGTAATCGCTCGTGTGATCTTACACATTCTTTCAAATGTCTGGCAGCTTGGTGACATTATGCAGTTGTCTGATGACCTGTCTGGGTCATTGAAACACTACTGTGCAGCGTGCAGTATGACTACTCACTATTGCTGGGCTTGGTTACCGGGGGTGGCGCGCGGGGGCGGGGCGGGGCGCTGACATGTCTAGTGGTCTGATATGACAGTCTGGTGGTCCGTGGTTACAGTGGTCCATGGTTACAGTGGTCCGTGGTGGTTACAGTGGTCCTATGGTGATAGTCCTTTTGGTCCGTGGTAACAGCCTGGTGGTCTATAGTGACAATGGTTTATTGTGACAGTCCTATTGGTTCATGGTAAGAGTGTGGTGGTCTATAGTGACAATGGTACATTGTGACACTTGTCCATAGTGACAGTGTGGTGGTATTTTGTGACAGTGGTTCATTGTGACAGTGGTCCATAGTGACAGTCAGGTGGTCCATGGTGACAGTGGTCCTTTGTGACTGGTGGTGCATCTTAACTGTCTAGCGGTCCATTATGACAAATCGGTGGTGTATCTTGACTGTCTAGTTCACTTGGTGACAGTTCGTGATCCATGGTGACAGTCATCTCATCCATGGAGTGATACTTTAACAGTCTGATGTTCAATTTTTGTGCTGAAAATATCTGTTTTGGAACATTTCATAATTGAATTTTTGTCTTTTATCGTTTACCTCTCTTTATATATATAATTCCTTATAAAGGCTAATATTTGTTCAACCTTTGACATTTACTCAATTATTTTTTTAAAACCTCCATAATTCATAGTACTTTAATATTTCTGCTTTCATACACAATAAGATGTATATATTTCTATGATCAACCACCTTTAAGTTCAAAAGGCAATAACACATTAAAACAAGCTGAAATATTTCTAGTCCTACAAACTGTCATTGAGTGGGTCACCTTTAGCAAGTTGTTGCTGTGGGCTAGAACAGAGAATCCAGCTGATAGCTTGCAAAAGATTTGAATTTAAAAAAAACAAACAAATGAGGACAGCGCTGATAAGCAAGCTGATCGTGCAGTCTTGGTAGACATTTCGACCTCGGTAGGTCACACACTCAGGCAGACGGAGTCACTCGAGGGAAAGTCTCAAGAAGTTAACAAAAATAATTTCTCTCAAGTGTTCAAACATCTTAGTGACTAGGCTGCAGCTGTATCAATGAGGGTTTTTTCAGATTGCATTCAAGATAAAAGATTCCCTGTATATGAAGCGTTATCAGAAGGACTTCGAGTCAAAATAAGCTGCTGTGCGCCATGTTTATTGTCGGGATTAATCAATACCGACATGATGACTTTTTTTTTATTTGAACATCTGTTTGCCATTGAAGTGTGATACAGCTTTTCTACTTAGAGAATGAATTGGAAAGTGTATTTCTATCATTTACTTTTTGCAAGTGTAGACTATCACATTTTATTTGAAATCAAGCATAAAAGTCAAGCAGTCTTTGAAATGATTATATTAGTATTTATGTATATATTATCTTTATAAAAATTAATTTATAGGGTCCTTTGATTTCAAAACTCACCCGCCAGTCTCAGTGGTTTTAATTTGTAATTGTATAATTTTAATTTTTAATTTTAATTACAGTTTGATAAAAAGCAGGTGTATTTTTACAGTAATTAAATGAATGAATTTTACATGGATCCTCTGGTCAGATTCATAGTGTAAGCAAGCCAGGCTGGGTAACAATAAATACCATCCTTTAAACTGTCCCTCCTGGATTCTGCTCGAATTTTAAAGTATTCCGCGGCAAATGTAAGTAAATTCTGCATCCCATTTTTCAAAATTCTGCAAAAAATTCTGCAGGTAAAACTTGAAAAAAACCCACACACAATAATGCAATTCCAATCTTCAAAAAGATCGATTTTGCGAATATAATTGCAGTGTCAAATTCAAATAATATTGTTGTAAAGTACTGAAGAAAATATTACCTTAATATGAATAAATCATCTTTATTCGTGAATATTTTGAAAATATCTTTATAACAAATGTCTCAGTTCGTTTTTGTGTAATCAATCATACTTTTGACATTTACCCCTACTTTTCGTTTCGGTAGATAGTTATTCTTGATTCAACTTTCAAAATGAGTAAATGTCGCGGCAGAAAAGGGTATTCTGCATGAAAATGTGTTTTCTGCGGACCATACGTTTTTCAGCATCAAAAAGTAATTTCCGAGATTTATTCTGGAATTGCGGGATCCAGGAAAAACTGTTTAAAATATGATATCAAAGCACTATCCTTCCACTCGCAGACAGACTTTAAACTTGATGCAACTTAATATTCCGGAAACACCCATGTGGTTTCTATGTGGTGGGTGGAAAAATTTTCAGTTAATAATTTGTTGATAATGTTTGTTGAAAATATCAAATGTCCACATTTTGGTGATAATGGTGAAAATTAATAGATTGTTTGATGACGCACAATTCAAGTCAGTTCTCCTCTCAGTTAATGCATTATTTAAATATTTCATTGCATAGGAGAAATAAAGGTTGTTTATTAAACACTTTCTTCCAGGTTTATATGTTCTTTCCTTAATTCCTTATTTTAAATTGGCTGAACTCATCAATTGTCGCCAGGGATGGTACAATCCAGCTAGGGTCCATGCAGGTCGCAAACGCACTGTAAATCCCCATGGTCCTTAGTATGGTGATCTACCTGTAGTTACTGGCAAACTATAGCCCATTTTTATATTGTCTTGTTGATTAATAATGCATTCTTTCAACTGCTATCAACTAGTTTTATATTGTATCTGTGATATTAAGTTATTATACTGTCCATCGATGACATGTTTGTTATTCATACTATATTTATTATTTCTATTTAATTTCTCGTCACAATATGTCTGAAATATTGCCCTTGTGACATTCAATTTTAACTCACTCACTCGTTAATCAGCCATACTTTATCCTTATAGCTAAGCTTACGTGTTTAATTTACCTTTCTCATCTTGTTTCCAGGTAATTGGCTTGGAGCGTGAATAAGGAGGCCGCAGTCATTTACATGGATAATCTAATTATGTGCAGGAATTGAAAGACACATGGATTAATGGCTTAATTTCATACGGAAAGTACCGTAGGTTCCATATTCACATGATCAAGGTAAGCCATTATTACTCTCTGCTCCTTATGCCGTGAATGATGTAATTTTGTTTTGCAGATGGAAAACCAACATGTTTGAGGAAGTATGTTAAGCGGTTTCAGGCTAATAGTATATTTTTCACCAACATACATACGAAGACTTCGAGGACTGTTTGTGGGCGTGATATCTTTTTCGCATTGATTTTCATACAAGGAAGTGCTGAATGTTTGCTGTGTTAAAGCCGCGCCGGACAAACCCGTAGATCCGAACTTGTGCTAGCTAGGTGATCGCAAGCTCGTGTCTACGTGTCTGTGTTGCTGTGGCAACTATCAAAACACAAGTCCACATATTGTCGTTAGTGATTTGAATATCCAGTTGTGCAGACATCGGAAAAGTTGAGTCAATGGGTTTATCGAATATGGTAAATGGCCCCGTCACAAGTCTGTCTGGCATAAATTAGTCTTGTGTTTCTGGTCTTCAGTAGTGAGTCAACGTTTTTTCTTTTTCTGTTTCTTTTTTTTAAGTGCAAGATGATTCCATTTCAAAATTTTATTTGTTGTTGTCATGGAATGCCTGATTTTTAAGGCATTTGGGTTTGATTTGGAACCGAGATTTTTGATTGGTTGTCACTTGGCGAGGAGGTTTCTGATTGGCTGCAAGGATGCTCATGAATATTCGTGTTCTCGGACTGAGGTAGTAGGTTGTATAGTTGAGAACTACACCCATTATAGGAGCACTGTACAACCTTCTAGCTTTCCCCGAGACACGACTCACGACTGCGGCGTCACCATGACGCAACGCAACATCTACAACGCTTTCCGGCAACAGTAAGTCAAAGGAAAAAGGAAAGGACCCAGCATCATGCATAAAAATATTTCTGTCCATTACCAGACTGAAACCCGAAAAATCTAGTTTATCATTCTGGAACTGGTTTGTTAAATGCTTGCACTGATTGGTTGGTTCTAGCTTAAAGGAGGAAGCAGTTCCACATAGTCAGTTACAGCATACTACTTCAAAGTTAAAAAATTTCAAACATACCATTTTACAATTTTTGTGAAATTTGTGAACCCATATATCTGTCATCAGTTCCAAATATCTGATCATGGGACGGAATATTTCTATGTATATTATTCCATAAATATTAATACTTTCATGATAACCAAATGTATTGTATGATAACACAAACATTACCTTTGTCAAATGACGCATTTTAGTATTACATTATCCATTATCGTATTGAGGTATTACACGATGCATTAATAAATGAATATGTATCTCATGCTACGTCTGTAGACATTCATATTTGGACTATGTGTCATTTCACGATCCTATTATACATCCGACTAGTGTATGGCAAGCAGTATTCACGAATTGATTATGATCTCCCGCCATTGGCCCACGGGATAATAGTTAGTTGTCAGGCAAATAGTGTCTGGGGTCTGCCATAGTCAAGGGTGCATAATTGCTTATGAATTCCGTAATCTATATTATATTACATACGATCAATTGTTTCTGTAGAAGTCTGAATCTGGCACCGCCAATGTAATTTGTGCCTATGAGAAAGAGAGATTTCTGTATCAGTTGATGTAAATTTCATTAAAAGCTGATTCTCTTTTCTTCGGAAAGGTTGGCAAATGTTTACACAGGCTTAAATTAATGTGTGAGTTAGTTTAGTTTTACGCCGCTTTTAGCAATATTCAAGCTATATCACAGCAGGCACACCAGAAATGGGCTTCACACATTGTACCCATGTGGGGAACTGAACCCAGGTTTTCTTTAGCGTGAATTATTGAATATGAGAATCAATAAAACTTTAATGGGGCTAAATCCGTGAATTTATAATGTTGGGAAGACAGATGGAATTTCCCTCAAGGCTATCTAGTGAAAGGTCAACTTCATATGAAAGGTCTGTTTACAACATGCATCTTACAGACAGACATCCACTAAAATGACCTTGAGCCTCATGGCAAAGTTAGAAATCAGATCCGTCTGGACTTTGTTTTCTTTTGTAAATAGTAAATACCGCCAGCATTAACCGAAAATTTGGACGGAAACTGAAATATGTTGTATAGTGAGGTGATTATCTGTGGCTATTAGCTTTGTGGGTTAGACCCGTGAAGATTCAGGTTAGACTATTGATCTTCAGTAACCCATGCTTGTCGTAAGAGGCGACTAACGGGATCGGGTGGTCAGGCTCGCTGACTTGGTTGACACATGTCATCGTATCCCGATTGCGTAGATTGATGCTCATGCTGTTGATCACTGGATTGTCTGGTCCAGATTCTATTAATTATAGACCGCCATATAGCTGGAATATTGCTGAGGGCGGCATTAAGCAACAAACCAACTTAGTGGGCTAAGTGTTTGCTCATAACACGAAACACATGGGTTCAGTTTCCTTACTCTGCGAAGCCCATTGCTGTCCCTTGTCAGGGTGTTACTGGGGTATGGGGCGGTGGGGTAGCCTGATGGTTAAAGCGTTGGCTCGTCACGCTGAAGACCCGGGTTCGAATCCCCACATGGGCACAATGTGTGAAGCCCATTTCTGGCGTCCCCCGCCGTGATGTTGCTGGAATATTGCTAAAAGCGGCGTAAAACCAAATTCAGTCAGTCAGTTAGTTACTGGGATATTGTTGAAAGTGGCATGAAGCCATGCTCACACCCTTCATCATATCTCGGATTTGCTTTCTCTGCTTTCAACAAGAAAACCAGGAGCTCTTGAAGAGCTTGTTCAAGATATATGCTACCGTGTCAGTCAGGGTTAATTAGGTCAAGGTCACTGACAAAAGGTCGCTCGCCAGACTTTCGTCTCACAAAGGCTTCCAGTTGTAATTATTCATATACGACCTTGAGACCAGATCCTGTTTGATACAGTGATTAAAGTTCATCCTGTTAGGATCCACTAGGGACCATTCCAAATTAGATAGGCTAGATGTACAGAAGATTCCAGCAAAAAGGTTTCAACAGAAAAAATAGGGTTTGTCTTTCAGCAGAAAACGTTAGTGTTAAAAAACACTGTTGTGTAATATATATTCGAATGGATAGTTTATGGTGACATTCCGGAATATTCCAACTATATGACATCAGTTTGTAAAGAATATAGTCAGGACCAGACAATCCAGTGATCAAAAAGAAACTGGACCTATTGCATGCATAAAAAAAATAAGTAAATAAATAAAAATTAAAAAATATCGGCATGTTAAGCATGCACTAGTTGGATATGTGTGCTATATAAATATCCTATAATAATAATATAATAATAATAACTTCTTTCAGTGTCAAACTCTGACAGTCAATCTATAAATAGAACTTTCCAAGTCAATAATTGAGTATCATACACACTGCCCTACAGAGGACGACTCCAGAATACTGCCATCCTCATTATACGAACAAATACTGGAGCTATACGCAGCATATATTACCGGTATGTAGTATTTAAGATCTTGAAATGGGAAGTTTTTAGTTACAAATGGTAAAGGTGTCGTAGGTTTATATGAAAGGTCTTCTTGTCTCTTGTGACTGACAGCTTCAGTTTACCTTTATTGATCAGCAGAGATACATATATATTTAATTACACTTCAAGATATCATACTCCCTGATCGGATAATATACCGGTATAATGTGTCATGCACTGACTGAATATAATCCAAAAATTTAGACTTTAGTGGTGAATAAACAGTGTTAATTTTTAGGACACTGACTGAAGGTAGACCAAAACTTGAGTCTATAGTGGTGAATAAACAGTGTTATGTCCAGGACACTGACTGAGGATAGGCCTAGAAATTTAGACTTTAGTGGTGTATAAACAGTGTTATGTCCAGGACACTGACTGTAGATAGGCCTAGAAATTTAGACTTTAGTGGTGAATAAACAGTGTTATGTCCAGGACACTGACTGAAGATAGGCCTAGAAATTTAGACTTTAGTGGTGAAGAAACAGTGTTATGTCCAGGACACTGACTGTAGATAGGCCTAGAAATTTAGACTTTAGTGGTGAAGAAACAGTGTTATATCCAGGACACTGACTGTAGATAGGCCTAGAAATTTAGACTTTAGTGGTGAATAAACAGTGTTATATCCAGGACACTGACTGTAGATAGGCCTAGAAATTTAGACTTTAGTGGTGAATAAACAGTGTTATGTCCAGGACACTGACTGAAGAAAGGCCAAACATTTAGACTTTAGTGGTGAATAAACAGTGTTATATCCAGGACACTGACTGTAGATAGGCCTAGAAATTTAGACTTTAGTGGTGAAGAAACAGTGTTATGTCCAGGACACTGACTGTAGATAGGCCTAGAAATTTAGACTTTAGTGGTGAAGAAACAGTGTTATATCCAGGACACTGACTGTAGATAGGCCTAGAAATTTAGACTTTAGTGGTGAATAAACAGTGTTATATCCAGGACACTAACTGAGGATAGGCCAAACATTTAGACTTTAGTGGTGAATAAACACTGTTATGTCCAGGACACTGACTGAAGAAAGGCCAAACATTTAGACTTTGGTGGTGAATAAACAGTGTTATATCCAGGACACTGACTGTAGATAGGCCTAGAAATTTAGACTTTAGTGGTGAAGAAACAGTGTTATGTCCAGGACACTGACTGTAGATAGGCCTAGAAATTTAGACTTTAGTGGTGAAGAAACAGTGTTATATCCAGGACACTGACTGTAGATAGGCCTAGAAATTTAGACTTTAGTGGTGAAGAAACAGTGTTATATCCAGGACACTAACTGAGGATAGGCCAAACATTTAGACTTTAGTGGTGAATAAACACTGTTATGTCCAGGACACTGACTGAAGAAAGGCCAAACATTTAGACTTTAGTGGTGAATAAACAGTGTTATATCCAGGACACTGACTGTAGATAGGCCTAGAAATTTAGACTTTAGTGGTGTATAAACAGTGTTATGTCCAGGACACTGACTGTAGATAGGCCAAACATTTAGACTTTAGTGGTGAATAAACAGTGTTATATCCAGGACACTGACTGTAGATAGGCCTAGAAATTTAGACTTTAGTGGTGAATAAACAGTGTTATATCCAGGACACTGACTGTAGAAAGGCCAAACATTTAGACTTTAGTGGTGAATAAACAGTGTTATATCCAGGACACTAACTGAGGATAGGCCAAACATTTAGACTTTAGTGGTGAATAAACACTGTTATGTCCAGGACACTGACTGAAGAAAGGCCAAACATTTAGACTTTAGTGGTGAATAAACAGTGTTATATCCAGGACACTGACTGTAGATAGGCCTAGAAATTTAGACTTTAGTGGTGTATAAACAGTGTTATGTCCAGGACACTGACTGTAGATAGGCCAAACATTTAGACTTTAGTGGTGAATAAACAGTGTTATATCCAGGACACTGACTGAAGAAAGGCCAAACATTTAGACTTTAGTGGTGAATAAACAGTGTTATGTCCAGGACACTGACTGAAGAAAGGCCAAACATTTAGACTTTAGTGGTGTATAAACAGTGTTATATCCAGGACACTGACTGAAGATAGGCCAAACATTTAGACTTTAGTGATGAATAAACAGTGTTATGTCCAGGACACTGACTGTAGATAGGCCAAACATTTAGACTTTAGTGGTGTATAAACAGTGTTATATCCAGGACACTGACTGAAGATAGGCCAAACATTTAGACTTTAGTGATGAATAAACAGTGTTATGTCCAGGACACTGACTGTAGATAGGCCAAACATTTAGACTTTAGTGGTGAATAAACAGTGTTATATCCAGGACACTGACTGTAGATAGGCCAAACATTTAGACTTTAGTGATGAATAAACAGTGTTATGTCCAGGACACTGACTGTAGATAGGCCAAACATTTAGACTTTAGTGATGAATAAACAGTGTTATGTCCAGGACACTGACTGTAGATAGGCGTGACGCTTGAGTCTTTAGTTGGTGAATAAGATGGTGTTACGTTTCTTGCCATGATTCTTGCTTCCTACTTCATCCACTATTTGGCGCCTTGGTAGAGAATATGTCATTGTACCCCATCAGTGTAGACGTTGCTCACGGTATCAATCATTGGATTGTCCATCCCTGCTTATCATCCTATAACTGGAGTATTGAATTTAGCATAAACATACAAAATTGATTATGTAGATCATGGTAACATCAAAATTTCTTGATAGCCGTGATTACAATCTTTCATTCAACATTGTTTTCACAGTTCAAGATTTTGTATGAACATCATAAATGCAAATTGTTGAATACCATCCTCATTTGTCCGAACGACCAAAACCTATATACGTGACTGGGAACGTGTTTTTGTTATATAATTACTGTTTTGGAATTAACTTTGGGAAAAAACCAATTTGTTGGGGAAAGTAGCTGCATCACTAGTGGTACTTACTCTAAACCAACCTTTTCTCTTTGCTTCCAGAGGGAAGAGTCTTCATGGTGTACCTGGTTGTCACGGCAACAAATCACACAGGTGAGTCCACAGCATGAGATATCTTTGTGCAAAGGCTGTCAAATATCTTAATAAGGAACAATGTACTTAATCGATGTTGGGATTACTGGGATAATTGTTTGGAATCTTGGATCACACACATTCTCGCATTGTCATTATAGTAGTAAGGTGAACTACAGTGCATTGGAAAATCACAGACAGTATGTTGAAAATCATGGAATCCAGGTGTGAGTGAGTGAGTTAAATTTTACGCCTCACTCAGCAATATTCCAGCTATATGACGGCGGTCTGTAAATAATCGAGTCTGGATCAAACAATCCAGTGATCAACTGTATGAGCATCGATCTATGCAATTGGGATACGGTGGCATGTGTCAACCGAACCTGACCATCTGATCCCGTTAGTCGCCTCTTACGACAAGCATGGGTTACTGAAGATCAATTTTAAACCTGTACGTGAAACCCAGGAACCTGAGTCATGTAGGTCACAGCAAAACTATCATTATTTTTAAACCTTTATACATTTCTCTCTGAAATGTCTGTGAAAGTAATACAAGGTCATCAGACGTTCCTAGTGAGGTCTGCGGTGGACGACAATAATACTGATACGGAAACGTCTTGATTGTCTACTGAAAGTCGGCAAAATTGAAACTTGACAGATCGTTTCAATCAATACAGTCAGTGTTAAGTTTCTTGCAACAAATTCCTACTTTTTATGATCTGTTAATATAGGTTGGGAAATTGAAACTTGAAATGACATACATGAAGAACGGACTCAGATTCGCAATATGATCTCTTGGGGACATCTGCACTTTACATTTTCTGTGACTCCACAATTCAATGACATTTATGACTGTAGCTAGCCAGCCAATCAGGTAACAGGTAAGTCGAGGTCTTTAACCCTTCGAGTCATCATCAAATGATATGTCCGCTACATGGTATGTCTGCCTGTATCCATGGTTAACAGTCATATGACTTATCCCACCGGGTATCCATTCACTGCTGGGTGAACAAAAGAAATTTTGAACAAACTCACTGCCACTTTCCAGAAACATTTCACGATATATATGTTCACCACAGATGTGTTTTATTAGGCTCCAGTCAATGTAGAACTCTGAGAAGAGCTTTTGAGCAGTGATCACAAGATACCAGCACTATATAAATCAAAGGTTATTATTATTAGCCTTGAGTGAGACCTTATGTGTTACATGTGCTTCATTGTTGGGCAGGGGAGGTGGGGTAGCCTAGTGGTTAAAGCGTTCGCTCGTCACGCCAAAGGCCCAGGTTCGATTCCCCACATGGGTACAGTGTGGGAAGCCCAATTCTGGTGTCCCCCCACCGTGATATTACTGGAATATTGCTGAAAGCGGCGTAAAACCCAACTCACTCACTCATAGTGGGGCAGGACAGAAGTCTTAGAAACTCTCAGGAGTCAAACTGCCAAACACAGTAGCCCATCCAAGGACTCTCCGTGACCAACGTGGGTGATTTAATACTGTTAAATTTGTTAAAAATATTTCAATAAAACAGGCAAAGTAAATGGAACTGCACAATGGGTCAGTACAAGCTCTTCAGCTATTGTGGATAGATCAGCATTGCTAGATGGCACACAGTCCTCTATACATGGCAAGTGTTGAGACTGGAGTTGGTCCCAACGTCACTGGAGAGAGACATATCATATCACACAGACTGCGACAATATTGATGAGCTTCTCGGAGTTCTATATTGATGAGACCGCCTCACCCTTTACTCAACTGTCCCACTGTTCTCAGGACATGTGACAATCATTCTTTCTCCGATTTTGATGGTTTCCATGCTGTAATGAGAGAGGCTAAGTGTGTTCCCCTGCCTTGAGTCGTAACGATGTTGTGAAATATCCGAAGAGATGTAGCTGGTGTTCGTGCAAGACACAACTACACCATTATCTGGTCAACTGGCATCTGTGATGGAGGACCTTGCTAGAAGACATCTTGACATTTCAGAGGTCATTAAAATTCCTGTTTACTTCTGATTGTCCACCAGTTTTTAACGAGCAAGTGAACATTTTACAAGGAAAGCAATATTCATCATCAGGGCAGGCCTGGGTTTGTACCTGACTAAACGTATTGAGTCCTATATGTGTAAACACACTAATATGATGTATGATAATGATATAAGATGATATGCATTGCACGAGTGCAAACAGGGGTTGTTGTTTTTTCAATAAAAGTAGGATCTGGATATCTGTTATGATCCATGCTAACTCTCAGACTCTAAGCCGACCAGTCCTTCTTGTACCCATTAATGCCGAGCGCCAGGCAGGGACCAACAAGTACCATGTTTTAACGTCTCTTGGTATGACACGGCCGGGGATTGAACTCCCGACCTTCTGTTCAGTGTTAAGGGAGTGTATGCAGGGTATGAAACAAGGCCCGTCCGACAGCCCGAGACGGTTTAGCTTTCTGACGGACAGTCTAAATTTACAGCTAGCCAGCCCAACGGTCTGGTAAAAATTGTAGATGTTCCATATATCTGAGTAAATTCACCGTATTTGGTCTGGTTAAATCCATTTTGGGCTGGTAACATTTTAAAGTTACCAGCCCTGATGCCTGGCTGTGTTTTTTGGCTTATTTCACACACTGGTGTATGTCGTATTACATGATTTTAGTGACCGCCTCCGTGGTGTAGTGATTAGAACGTCCGCCCAGAGTGTGGAAGGTCGCGGGTTCGATCCGCAACCGCGTCAAACCAAAAGACGTTAAAATATGGTACTTGTTGGTCCCTGCCTGGCGCTCGGCATTAATGGGTACAACAAGGACTGGTCGGCTTGGAGTCAGTATAATGTGTCTGAGTGGGGTATTCATGCTTCACTGCGGCATGGTATCTCAGTGGGCTAGCACTATAAAACCAGCTTAAGTTTGGGCTAGTACAAGCAGCCGCACATACACATACACACGCATGCACGTCGTCATATGAGCGAAATATTCTCAAGCACGACGTTAACCCCAATTCCACCACCACACGATATTAGTGGTACTGTAGAGCATCCCCACTTACTACACTGCTGATACTGCAGTATTGGAGACAGCTGTCTCTAGGCCCATCTACTGCTCGGGTCCGTAATAGTGCTGACTCATCGTATTGATCACCACGGCGGTCGTGAAGCTCGCTTTTGTAGATTCCTCCTCGCAGCAACGTCAGCGCTACCATTTCTATATTCAACATCGGGGGCGTCAAATTAACCGTAGTCGTTCACCCACTGACATGATCCTCCAAGGCCAGAGCTTGCCTGCTACAGGAGAGCATGCTTGTTCAATAATCTACAGAGAGAGGAAACTGTAGTTGTTTGATGGGATGGATGCTCGGGCCTGACATGACAGTGTAAAGACATCGTTGGCAGATATCCCTGACAGAACCTGTCCGAGACTGTGTTGGTGGAGGGGAAGAAAAAATGGCAAGAAAAGTAAGGATGTTAGAGTTTCATGTCAGGGAAAGATTCGTCCAAGAAACAAACTGAAGGAAAGGAGAATGGCATGATGAGATAGGAAGGGTGGTTAGTGGAGGGGCATGATGAGATAGGATAGTGGAGGGGCATTGAGAGAGATAGGAAGGGTGGGTGTTAGTGAGTAGAGGGCATTGGGATTGTCAGTAGAAGGGGCATTGAGAGATGGGAGGGTGTTAGTGGAGGGTTGAGAGAGATAGAAGGGGCATTGGGAGGGTGTCAGTAGAAGGGGCATTGAGAGAGATTGGGAGGGTATTAGTAGAAGGGGCATTGAGAGGGCATAGTGGAGGGGAGAGAGAGATTGATTGGGAGGGTGGGAAGCATGTTAGTAAAGGGGCATTGATGGAGATGGGAAGGGTGTTAGTTGAGGGGCATGTTGAGGAGATGGAGGGAAAGGAGGGCATTGATGGAGATGGGAAGAAGGGGCATTGGGGGCAGAGAGATGGGAAGGATGTTTAGTGAGAGAGAGAAAGGGAGGGGCATTGAGAGAGATGGGAAGGGTGTTAGTAGAAGGGGCATTGAGAGAGATGGGAGGGGGTATTAGTAGAAGGGGCATTGAGAGAGATGGGAAGGGTGTTAGTGGAGGGCATTGAGAGATAGGAAGGGTGTTAGTGGAGGGGGGGCATTGAGAAAGGGGCATTGGGAAGGGTGTCAGTGGTAGAAGGGTGTTAGTGGAGGGGCATTGAGAGAGATAGTGAGTGGAGGCATTGATGGAGATTGTTAGTGGAGGGGCATTGAGAGAGATTGGGAGGGTGTTAGTGGAGGGGAATGGGGAGGGTGTCAGTAGAGAGGGGCATTGGAGAAGGTGTTAGTGGAGGGGCATTGAGAAGATTGAGAGAGGGAAGGGTGTTAGTGGAGGGGCATTGAGAGAGATGGGAAGGATGTTAGTGGAGGGGCATTGAGAGAGATTGGAAGGATGTTATTGGAGGGGCATTGGGAGAGATAGGAAGGGTGTTAGTGGAGGGGGCATTGAGAGAGATGGGAAGGATGTTAGTGGAGGGGGCATTGATAAAAGTGACTGAGGATGTGGGAGTTCTGTCAAAAATAGAAGCTGCAGTGGAAATAGATTAGTGATTTAGTTGACACTGATGACAGAGAGTGCTCTGTTCCAGGACACAAGTCTCTCTTGCAGACGTAAACGGTCTCAATGCCATCTGACATTATTGGTAATGACGTTGATCTACCAAGCCGTCACAAAGAATATCATTAGAGGGATAAACTAAACAGTCATCTTCTACACATCAGGCGTATAGATTTCACTCTGATATCCACAGAGTTGCTTCCTGTGGAATTGAATAAGCCATTTGTCAAATGTGAAATAAGTGATTTATCAAGCCATCGACCATCTGATAGGAGAACAGTGACTGTATATTACTGTATGTAAGTAATGCATCGCAGATGTGAATAAGTGATTTATCTCGCCATCGACCATGTGATAACGGAATATTGGCTCTATGCTACAGTATATAAGTAAGGCAGAATGAGGTGAACGGCGGGCTCGTTCAAGATTATTGCGCTTACATTATACTAGATTGACATTT